ATTGTGAAATTGGTCCTTTAAAAACAAAATCATATCAATTAATACTTGGAATTAATTAAATATATTTTCTATATTTTTGATCGAGTGATTGCTTACCAGCTCCAACAACTAGAACACGAAGTTTACCACCAAATTTTGCTTTAACATTACCATTAAATACCAAATAATCCCATATTGAGTTTGTTAAAAGCATTCCTTTTTTTAAATAATACAATTTAGATTCATATCCTTTTTTGAACAGTGATTGATCTCCCATCGTTTGTAATATTGATTCTTGAAATCCTGTTAGAAAACGTGGTGCGCTTTTATTATAAAGATGTAAGATTATTAATCTTAATCTTAATCTTAACTAAAGCGAAATATGGATTTTGTTATTCATTTACCTGGTGAATATAGTAGGTTGTACTTCTTGTATATTATTTAACAATTGATTAATATCTCTACTATAAAATGCAATTGATACGCCAGAATAAAGAAATGAGAAAACAGATATTCTTTCAAAGATATGTGCTAACAAATAAAAGATGATAAATATATACATTATTTGGTTATTGGAAAAAATTATAAATTATAATTATGAAAGATAAAAGGTTTTTTTTTTACCTAATGGTAAATATGATAAATGTCTATCATCAGAAGTAAGTTTTTGTTGAGATGGGATTGAAGCAAGAATACCAGCTATAAATATATAAATTATATTATTAATATAATTGGGAATGAATAAGAATATCAAAAATTTTCATATAAATATTAAATACAGACTAACCAACGTCAGCCACGATGTTCTAATAATGTTATTTAATTATCAATTTAGATTTTTTTTTTGTAAATACAAAAATTTAATGGTAAATAATATATGTGTATATATAATAATAAAAGTTACTTTGTGTGATAATTCAACTCCTTTAGGTTCCTAATAATAAAATCAAATAATGAATTATATCTATTAGACAAGTAATTTATTTGTTTTGTAATAGACTGTAATAATAAAAGATAATTAAAAAGAAACACATACGCCGAATGTTGTTCCATTTGTAAAAACAATTGTCGCAGTATCTTCAGGATCTAATATAAATAAATTTAACATACACGTTAAAATACATATATCTTATATAATAATTATAACACCATCACCACCAATCAACAGCATCACCTAATTAAATTATTTTGTATTTTCCGTATAATAAAGATTGTGTAGGTCGTGTAACGTGATAATTTCGAATGTTGATCAAAAACAAAATTCCACTATGCTTGTTTTTGGTTTTTTTCTCATTATGTAAAATTTTGAGAAAATACAAATTTAAACAAAATTCGAGGATGAAAATCACAAATTTAATTGAAGTTTGTTTTTTTTTGGTTAAAAAATTAATATAAATACCAGAATTGTGAAATATTGCATACACATTCATTAGAACCTAAGCTACATGATGATATTTTCAAAAAAATTTTTTATTACGTAAAAGTTTGCGGAATTAATAAAAATCGAGGTTCGGATACTTTCTTCCAGGCAGTGTATATACAGCATAATGGACTGTGGTGTTCGATGGCGGTTGATCATCAAACATATGTTACATTGTGAGATAGTAAATCTTGGACCTATCAATTACCCGGCTAATATTGACCAATTAGAACGAACTTACTACGGAAGT